ATCCATGCCCTGAGTGGGATTCTAACCCACGATCCTGGCTTCTGAGTGAGCAAAGACAGTGCATGCCTTAGACCACTCGGCTACCGCGACTGGCAGAGAACTATGTTACTAACTTGAATACCACAGCTGATACCAAATAATAACCAAAATCATTTATTTATTTGTTTCATTTTATAGGTGAATTTTTTAAAAGCTGCAGAATATGAAACTGAAAAATATCAAGTAGAGCATTTATTTCTGGAATTTTATGTTAAAGACCTCACATCATTCTCTGTTAACTAAATCATGGTATAACAGCTACCAAATTAATGTATTCACTGCAGGAAGACAGATTAGAAACTAATTTGACACAGCACGCACGTAAACTACACGACTAATAATAAGAACATAAAATCAAGAGAAATAAATGACATCTCCCACCATCAGGAAGAAAACAACATGACCCAATGTCGGCTCACGATATTTTAGCATAATATCTAATTTTTTACATCCAAAAGAAAATTTTAATAAATTTTAAATACATTGGGAGGCTAATGTATGAAAAGTGAATATCATATTGCGTGCAGTGAAAAATCCCAGTCAGAATACCCAGCAAATACGCCTAAAAGAAACGGCATCATACGGAAGTCTACTCTTCAAGAAGCGCCATTGTGAATGCCTAGGACAAACACCAAAACCAACCATGATAATAACAAAATTTATATAGTGAGCATTATTCATAGCTTAAGTGCATATGGTTAAAACATCTTATGTGACAGTGTTTCCTGATCGTAGTGGTGCACCTCTGAGGATGATTCTTTTGAATTGAAACATGTAAGGTGAAAAAGACTGAAGTGTTGTAAACTTTTATGTCACACTGGACTGAAAAGTATCCGCTCGGCGATTAGAAACGTTTATTTCTTGGTAGATATCAGTAAACTGTTAGCTGTGTTGGTAACATATCTGTTAGGCATCATGACAGAGAAAGTTTCCCGTAGTAATATGTTCAGTAACAATGGAAAAGTAGGTTTATCAGAGACAAAAATTGTTTTACCTGTTTTAGTACAAAATGAGTGATTCACACAACAACACTTTCCCGAACACAAAAGATACAGTACTAGGTGAGTGCTAATAATTTGAACAAAGTCTGTCAGATAGATTGTTTGGTTTGAACAGTTTGAATTCAGTGTCTGTTGGTGTACATGGTCACCTGATGCAGGAACGCAGCTACAATACTCAGGTTTGAATGTAAATAGAATTAAATGATTATTAAGATGAGTTGTTATCATTTCCATTTTATATGGCTCTATGGCTCTCTTTGTTCTCACAGTCTTTCCTTTCGAGTTTCTTGCACACACTTTCTTCTCCTCTTGATGTCTTCCATTACCTCGTGAAACCATGCTCAGGGCCATTACATACGTTTCTCTCCATTACATTTTAATTCTGTTGCCCTCAACATTGTTGTTCTATCCATTCTTTTTATGTGACCAATTCATTGTATTTCTTTTATGGTGCTCACATATCTAGATTATGTAGCATCATGTGATGATTGCTGAATTAGAAAGGATTTGAAAGGAAGTGGTTGCGCCCTGATTGAGTTACAGTCTAGACACTCACCTGCAGGATCTGAGAGAAACCACTAAAAATCTCAGTCATTATAGATTCAAACCAGGCACCTTCTGAATAAAAGTCTGAAGTGTTACTGCTACACCAATATGCTCACTACCATAGTAATCTTTTTCTCTCCTAACCTTGTTATCAGATTACAATGTAATCTTCTTATGTTCCAGTCATTGCACATGACAGAGACCAAGGAAGCAATGGAGAAGTGCGTTATGCATTTGGATCTGACATTGGTGAACTAGCAAATGTGTTTGCAGTGGATGCCTATACTGGTTGGATTACCACATTAGTACAGTTGGATAAGGAACAGCAGTCAGAATTCATGTTCCAGGTTGTAGCCACTGACAATGGCAGCCCCAAACACTTTGCTCGCACAACCGTTTATATTAAGCTCATGGACTATAATGATAATCCACCAGTCTTTACAAACCGACACTACCTCGCTACAGGTGAGTGCCCATTATAGGATTTTCAGGAGAGGATTTGTTTTTATAAATTTATTTATTATAATATGAATTTAAAAATACAAGGAAATTCTGTTAAAGTACTCTGGATTATAAACCTCAGTAAAGATGAATGTATATTCCACGATATGACTTTAAATATATGAAAGAATTTCAAAATACAAGAAATTCTACTGTAATGCTGTGTTTGAAAAATAGAGAGTTTGCATTTAAGTTCCTGGGTGTGACACTGAAAGTATTCATAAAAAACAAGATCACAGACCGAACTTCTTTTTATATATATATTTTAGGCTGATTTTGATGGAATTATTGATTTGTGAGCGCTTGTGTTTGGATGTATGTACATGGCCATTTTTGGAAAATGTTTGGTGTAAGTGGGCCATTTAGGATATTGTGTAATGAAAATCTCAGTTTGTACAATTCATATAATATTATTAGGGTACTGGATTGTAGGTTGGAATTGGCCAAACATTTAGCTCAAATAGGGAGACAAGAATGTGTACAGAGTTTTGGTGGGGGAAATCTTTTTGAAAAGTGGTAGCTTAGAAGAAAAAGAGAAGGTGGGAGGTTAATATTAAAATGGATCATAGAGAGGTAGGTTGTGAGGTGGGTGGAAGAAGTTCAGGGTTGTATCTTGGGTCTTGGTATGTGGTGTTGAGTTTTCCAGTTCCAAGTGTTAGTCTGTATTAGGTAAAGGAAAGAGGTATATCTTCTGGGATGAAGCAGGTAGCAAGCACAGCATTTTGCTGCCTGCTTCACACTGGTTTCTTGTGTGGCTTATACTTTGACATTGAAGGTGGAGTTGATATGTTCCTCTGTAAAGTCAGTTGATTTTCAATGGACTACATAATATTATATCCCAAAAGATAGAATTCTTCCTAATCACGACTCCAAGAACCTCAGGTCCTATGAGACAAAGGAAACATTTCAGTTTAGGCTCTCATTTGTCAGTAGCATGTAATATGGATGGTTTATATGTGTTCTTTCTCCAGTAAATGAGGATGCCCTGCCAGGAACTGTAGTGGTGGCGCTAGACACAAAGGATCGTGATGTGGATCTTGTGTCACCAGTAGAATTCTATATTACTGGTGGGGACCCTAGGTCACAGTTCCAAATTCGTCAAACTGGTGAAGTATATGTGGCAAAGCCCCTGGATCGGGAAAGTGTAAGCAATTATGTTCTAGATGTCACAGCTACTGATGGAAAATTTATTGCCACTACCAAAGTTACCATTGATATTTTGGATGCTAATGGTAAGTAATATTGTTTTGCGCTTGTGTATATTTGTGTAACAGTGTTTTCCCCTGTGAATGAAATAATAATTTGCAGATATTTGAAAACAGATCTGAGAGAGATAAATGAAGTAAAAAAGTGTAGGATATTATACAAGGAGAAAGTATATAGTTTGTAGAATTCTTGTATTGTTGTCCACATGTTCATATTAGAGAGGTTTCACTGATCTGGAAGTGTAACTTGTGCATGGTTACAAGACATGACATAGAATATATCTGATGAAACATCTTCATGATGCGTGAACAAATTTACAAGATAATATTGATGTAGATCTTGGAGGTAAAGAGGTAATGAGGATAGATCCGGATTAAATTGCGTAGGATATGGTCAGGTGAGTATGGACCATCTTTATGATTCCCAGTCAAGTCTTGTTTATGTAATACTTTGAAAGCCTTTAGAAGTTTGATTGCTATCCAGAGTATGGTATTCCAGTGGTAGGGTTGCTACCTGTAAGTCTTTGGACAGGCTGTCTGAGCCAGCATTTCCTCTATCAGTGATGTAACAGTTATGCCAATAAAATGTTTATCTGTAGAAACATATTTCATGGGGCGGACTTTGGATACAAACTTGGAAATTATGGGAAAACTATAGATATAGTAAATAACATAATTTATAGAAATACAGAGAAAATTGGGAAGAAGGCACTGACAGGATGAGCTCTGACAGGATTCCAGGATCGGTTTCAAAATATCAACCAAAATGATAAAGAACTGTTGTAGATTTTTGTAGTAATGGAAGTAGTCTGTTTTGTAATTCCCGTAACAGATCTCACTGACCCTGCATTAGAAAGGATGATGATGATGATGATGATGATGATGGAATTTGCTATTTTTTAGTTTTGTTGAATCTTTTTTATTCTGTTATCCAAGAGTAAGTCAGTTAATGATGAATAACACAAAGTCAAATTCTTTTGTTATAATTAATTTTCAGGATCAAATTACAGTCAGTAAATGTAATATGATTACAGATAATCCTCCCTACTGTCTGCGGTACCGATATCGGGAAGTTCTATCTGAAGGTATTCATGCAGGCAGTTACGTGCTTACTGTCCTAGCAACAGATATTGACGAGGAGCCAAATGCCAACCTACGTTTCTATCTCACTGGAGAAGGAGCCGATCACTTTTCTCTTGATAAAGCTGCAGGTATGTAAACAAGAGAAAAAGAACACAAAGAGGCACATGGCAGCAGAGGCCATTACACTGAAATTTCTATCCTGCAGCAAACATATTACAAAGAAATACAGCAGAGAAGGAAAGATTTGTCTGAAGTAGCATTGCATATTGTTTTATATTCTTACACCTTCTTTGTGAAAATAACTTGAAATGAATGCATAATGGGGAGGTCTTTGTCTTATATCTGTCAGCATTTTATATCACAGATACTGCTGAATGGATTTTGATGATATTTGATTTGGGAGATGGTCGATACCAAATTTTATATGGCACATTTATTTATTTGTAACCCTACTTTACATAGTTCGAATTAGACTTTTACCGTGCAAGATTTGAGATTGCTACAGCAGTAACTCTTTAGATTACTGTCTTCTTTGATGTGAGTCATTTAGATCTTTATTGATGTTGCATTTGTGCTTGTAATACTTAGTTCTTACAGTGCAGAGTTACTTGTTCTTTCTTTCTGTTAAAAATGTGCTTTACAACATAAAAGTGGGCAAAGATGCAGAGACACCAAACGATTAGATATAATTCCAAAATCTGCTACATCTTAGCTTTTATGCTATTCAGGACATCTGAAGACTGTGCGTCCATTGGATCGTGAGCAGCAGTCCAAATTTCAACTGACCGCACATGTCCAAGACCGTGACAAGCCTGGGTGGGAATGTTCATCTCAGCTTGAACTTCTTGTCTCAGATCTCAATGACAATGCCCCGCGTTTCTCTCTGGACTCTTACAGTGCAACATTACCTGAAGATGTTCAGGTTGGCAGTCTTGTTACTAAGGTCCATGCCACTGACCGTGACATCGGTAAGTTAACTCTACTACTTTAATGCATATTCCTGTATCTTGAACAATATAGGGAGACATTTTGTGATGTTAGAAACTCCTCATATCTTCATTTCTATTCATACTGCCTGAAGCTGTCCAGATTGGGAGCTTGGTTACCAAAGTCCATGCCACTGATCGAGATGTAGGTAAGCTGATCTTATCACAATTTATTATTCTATTTACTGGTCAGTTATATCTAAGTGTTTCAAGAATTTAATCATAAAAGGACAGAGCAATACTGAATAAGGGCTTCTAAATGTCAAAATATCCAGACTCTGGACTTCCTGAAAGGGAACGTAATATTAATGTTATAGGTTTTTTAGTTTTCATGGCAGTGATTAATAGAATTATAACACCATGTATCTTATAGGTAAGTTCCAGTGCTTTGGTGGAACTTGCTATCTCCACTTGCTATCTTGCTGCTCGTATTAGCCCGGACTGGGCTCCATCCCCCTCCCCCCCCTCCTCTGTGTCTGAGTGACCCCCACCCTTGCAGTCTGCCCATATAAGTCTGTACACTTTGGCCATGAAGATGGAGGCAGCATGCACCTCCAAAACATCTATGTCCACCTACAAGACTCTATGGTGCTGTAACCCAGGAAGCCATGATCTAAATTTTAATGTTTTTCACTATATTGACCATACTTTATAGTTAGTGTAGTTTCTGTAGTATGATAAATTTCTACCGACTGCTATCTGATTCACTAGCTATGGATATTCCTGTTAAGCCAACAAGCATAGTTGAAGAACTGTGAGAACTTGTAACCGCTCACTTCCTTTGTGCCCTTTTCGTTGTGCGCCACTCCACCACCGCTCACTTCTTTGGGTTCTTTACTTTAATCAGTAGAGCTGGGTTCCTATCCCAGGGTCTTATAAGGTTCTGGCTCGGACAGGGCAGGAAGAACACTTCACTACAATCACCCACCTTTTGACGGTTGCACTTAGTAGTCCTTTAATCCCTTCCAGCTTTCTGCATACAACTGAATTTATTAATACGATTGATTTGAACTGTACTTATACTATTTTACGGAAGGGCCGTCGTGGTAAATTTAGTGTCCGACTTTGCCGAAAGTAGTGTCAAGACTTTTTGAGATAGAATGCCCTCTCTCTCAATTCTGAGGTCCACGAACCCCAGACTCCAAGAGAAATCCACTCCTCCCTTCTGCCATTGGTTAAGTTTTCAAACTAGGAGGTTCCCTAAATTTTGAATTCCCAATCATGTTGCTCTATGTGATTCTGGCAGATGCTGACCTGACGCTAAGGATGACAGCCCCTTGATGTATTACGGTCAGGGTGTGAGGCTCCGGCCGTCCCACTTCTAAGTTATCGCTGTCCCAAGCTGTCAGCTCTCATTTTCTCAAAGCCTTTCCGACTTTGCTGAAACTGCCAGAATTCTAGGAAAGTACCAGATGTTACTTCCTGTTCACATAGCAAAACTTGAACTATGTCCCTTCCACATGTAAGAGCTGGCTATCTGCCGGATCTCTTTGTTTGTAATATTGTTAATCTTAACTTAATACAAAATTTAATTTTCACACAACACTCCTCCAGTCAGAATGGACGGTTACAAACTTCATACACATAACAGAAGTTCTGTTCAAAGCTGTGCTAAAGAGGGAACTGGGGTTCATGTGTTCAGGTTGCTTTTAAAACAAGAAGGAAAATTAGAAAGAAAAAAAAAGCTATCTTCTAACAGTTAGTTGTAGGGGGTGGATATGTTGAAGGGACAAAAATTTATACCGGTCTCATTATTATATTCTCAATGTGCATAATACAATATTATGTAGTTTATGTTGATTCATTTTTGAAATGTTCCTCGAACTCAAATGTGAGGCATTAGTGGGTTTTTTAAATTTCATTTCACTGTTATCTAGCCACATTCTTGCATGAAATTCTGGTGTTATTAATCAGCAAAACCACAACTTTAAGTATTTCTTTTTGTGTTATTTATTTTATGATGCTCCCATTGTCTGAGACTATATGATAAATGGTGGAATGACTGGTGAATAATGAATTGCGAAAGATTTGAAAGGAAACTGTCATAGTCTAGTTGAGGTACTGTCCTTGCATTTCCCTGGCAGGACTAAGGAAAATAACAAAAAACCTCAGTCAGGATAATGAATGACTTTGCCAAGTATCAAATGAGTACCTCCCAAATAAAAGTTTAAAGCATTACTGCTACACCAACCTGCTCAGTGTTAAGTATTAATTCAACATTGCTGTCTCTGGTAAAGGTACATGTGTTTCCCAAAAATGCTTAAAATGTTTTCCATTGGGTACTCAAACATACAAGTTTGAACGTAAGATTGTATTGTAACTAGAAAAAATTATGGTGAAATTGATTTGAAAACACCAGATATTGATTTTGTATTAAGATTCTGGTGTAGTCATTTTTCAAGGTATTGGTTATGATTAATAAGATGGAGGAGGAACGATGTATAATGAATTTTGTCAGGCTCTTTAATTTTTTCTCCTGTTAATCTTTCTCCAAATTATATACATGGCTGGAATGAGTATTCGTTAGTTTCTGATTTGATTATGTACCAAAAAAATGAACTGGAATCTAGTAGTGTTTTCTAATACAACAGGGATATGAATGCGTGTTTACCAATTGATGTATGGTTTCTCCATACTTCATATTATTTTCATTTGACTTCTGTATTCTTTTCGTATAAAGGAACATGACTGTCAGAATTTTTATTGTTCCTTTCAAACCTTGAATATCTATAATAATAATAATTTAATATTTTTTTCAGTTTTGTTGTATGAAATGCACATATGTCAGCCCACATGTTTTATCTCCAAAAATATTACATGGATTTTGATAACATTTGGCATTTGGAATCTGTACAAAAAATTTAAAATTTGACTGCAGTTTACGTTGATCCAGTACAACCTCTGCTTAACATAAGTTCATATTATATGTTAAGAATGTTATAAACAGGTTACCGTTTGAAAACATAGTATGTTGCACAAAACCTAGCTCTGGAAAAGATCTACAACTATTGTTTGAAACATTATTCACTGTGGTTTGTATTTGATGAAATGAAATGGAAAAAAAATGTACTTTTAAGCAGTATATATGCTTCCATACTGCTTACCTCTGTCATGAAAGTTAATAGAATGTGACAAAGATGAATGGAAACAAGAAGTGGTAGTGTTCGTCACATCTTCAGTTTCAGATACTTTATGAAATACAAGAGAAGGATAATGTATCTGCCTCTTTTCCATCAGTTTGTTCACCAATAAACTTATGTAGATTAGATGAAAGGAACAAAGGAACTAATTTTCATCTGACAGAAGTGACTGTTAAGATCTAAGGTGAATGCAAATTTACAAAGAACACATTTGGGAAATGTGTGTATTTAATTGAAGTACACTGTTTTCATGATAATTTTGATGATTCTGTTTTTCATATATTTTTGCAAGCCCTTGTTCAAGAAAATGCTCTGCCATAAAGAATTCTGCCAAGTTTTATATTAAATCAGTTCATTGATTTTTTTTATTCATTTTCAAATGAATTATCAGTGTTGTTTGTTATGTTTGCACAATTTCACTTCTCTTAAACAGTGATGTCTGTTGATGTCATGTGCTACTGTGAGTTGTATTTTTGGAATCAAGTAGCATTGAAAAATGCAAAGCACTAAATAAGAATGCTCTGTGGTCAATGTCTCACAACTTGTTTTGACAGTACAGTTGCATGTTGAGACTGTTTCACTGTTAAGTTGTGGTTGTGAAAGATGTGAGGTTCTCACAGTGGTGAGTATGAAGGTTGCAGCTTCCTGGGATGTGACACCATGTAGTTTTGTAGTTGGACACAAGACCATATACTATGTCATATCCCAGAAAACTGCAATCTGTGTTTATGAATTAGAGGAGCACTCAGGGACTTCATGAAGTCAGTTTTGTATATAAGAAGATAAAATTCAAACAATGTTACATATTGCCAGTCATGTATTAGGGGGATGTGTGTGTGTATATATGTATGTATGTATTTTACTTACAGTTAATCTCTTGACTGTTACAAATTTAAACTTCTGTATCATCTGTGAAGTGACCCTACCCAGATGGAAATTACAAGGGGAATCGATTAAAACAGATTCAAAATGTAAACCAAAAAGAAATTCACAAAAATTACTAGCAGCCCCTGCGTAGTGCTGTTAGAATAGCACTGTATCATTCTAATGTATGATACTGAGTTCCCCAGGGTATTTTATCATGTATATTGTAATAGTTGTGGCATCACATAGCTGGAGCACATGGGTTTACTCATCAGTAATATGTAACCAACAGAGTATAGCTCAGGGAAATCTGTTATTCTGTGGTCTTGAGAATGTATATGTACAATAGTTCATTAATTAATTTTCTAATTACATTATTTCATCTCTCAGAATGTTAATAAACCTTTTACTTACACTTATATATGCACATGTGTGGTTATATAGTACAACTGGCAAGCTGTGTTAATGATTGGTGTTTATTTACTTTAATTTATTTGAGTAAATGTGTTAATGATTGGTGTTTATTTACTTTAATTTATTTGAGTAAATTGGTTCCACTTAATGCTTGAATTCTTGGGACTCATTTAAGATTTCTGGACAGGAGTTGTTTGCATCTATATTGTGGCACGTTTCTTATATTGATATTGTTGTAGCATGTTACCAATTAGCTGCAGTTGATTTATGTACTATATCTGGTGCTTATTTATGGCTAAAGCCCAAGACTCTAAAGTAAACTTTACTTAAATTGGGCATCTTTTGCAGGCATTAATCGCAAGATCAAGTACTCATTTGTGGACTCTGCCAACGGCCACTTCAAGATAGCACCAGATAGTGGTATTGTTACCTTGGCCAAACCTCTGGATCGTGAGACAAAGGCTGCATATAACCTCACAGTGCAAGCAATGGATCAGGGAACACCACAGTTATTTCAAACAGCAGTTCTTACTGTGCTTGTATTAGATATCAATGATAACCCGCCTGAATTTGCATCCAAGTACTATTATGCAATCGTACCCGAGATAAATGCAGTTGGGACAGAAGTTGTCAGAGTGTTGGCAACATCTAAGGATACTGGTATCAATGCTGAAGTCACATATTCTATTGTTGGTGGGAATGAACATAAGAAATTCCAGATTCATCCTAAGTCAGGTACATTATATGTAATTTTTTTGTCAATTGTTTGAATTTATAGAATTAATTATACACAAATTTATTGCCACAACTCTTGAAACTAGTATGCATTAAAGGTAAAAATATGAAGTAATGTTTTAGATTAGGGATGAATGAACCTTTTCCAGTGCCCATGCCAAAAATTTAAAAATATTTCAACAATTTTTGCAAACCAGCCTGGCTGACAGGTAACAGTATTTATTTGACAGTAATACATAATATCTTATGCCATTGTTAGAGGGATGACAACCCTTGGATAGCATTCTTGCTCTTAGTATCATGCAACCAAAATCATGCCTAACGTCACTAGCGTTAGGTGTGAAAGGATTATATTTGCCTCCTTATGGTGTCACTTCTTGTAACTGGAAAAATCATGTTATTTTAAGTAAATAATGATGAATTAAAATTACAAATTTTATTTCCAAAGTCACTGCCTTACACAGTTAGACACTTAAGTTGTTTCTAGTGAAAATCTATGTTTACTGACATGTTTAAGAGTAGTTAATTTATATTTTATTTAATTTCTTATAGTCAGCTCACAGGAATGTAGATTAGTTAGTATGTGATGTGTATAAACTGTGTCCAATAACTTTAGAAAATTTTTATTTTCAGCCAAAATTATTTTGTTTGGAGTTTATTCTTTAAATATTCAAAACTAAAACCAGTATTCTGCATCATACATTTAAAAGTGTTTGCTATTTTAAGATTTCATAAATAGCATGTTTATTTATTAATTTATTTTCTAGACCTTTGGTATATTCAGAATGTAAAACTTTCAGATTTATTAAATTTGCTCCGTTTTAAACAATATATACTTTTGCTATTAAATATCCTGTTTTCAGACATGTTAAAAAGTAATTTGGAATTACTCTCTCTTCCAGGTGTAATAAGCATAGCAGAACAGTTGGACTATGAGCGTGCTAAGGACTATTTTCTAACAATACAAGCTGTTGATGGAGGGACTCCTCCTTTGAGCAATCATGCCACTGTCAACATTTCAGTCACAGATAGTAACGATAATGCTCCCATCTTCAATCAGGCATCCTACAGTGCTCGTATTAGGGAGGATGCCCAGATAGGAGATAAAATTCTACAGGTGAAAATCCATGAAACCATATCCTTTTGTATCAGACTTGTGTGTTTATATTTTGTAACATACAAGTATAATGGAATTTTAACATGTTAATAGCCAGACAGTTTTGTCTTTATTATATCAGTGATGTTCTTGTCACATTACACAAGCTTTTGAATTGCATCTGCATACATGTATATTTTTCCTGCTGCCTTTTTCTGATTATTTGTATAAAGAATACAGTACTAGACCGTCGGCAGCTTAGGCACTGCAGACAGTACCAGGAATATTTTTGGAACATTCTTGGGGGCAAAGGGCGGCCAGCTCATAGGGCTGACAACCTTTCCGTCATCTGTGAGCCGGTGGTCTAGAAAATGTGGGAACATCAATATCTCACAACCCTATGGGCCTCCACAGCCTGTTAGGGATACCTTTACTTTTCTACTTACATATTGATTAACCACTTTTCTTGCGTATTGTAGTAGAATATGATCAAATAAATGAGTTGAAGAAAGCAGTCTTCTGGGATTTGGCGCCGTGTATATGTGGNTAAGAAAGGGCATTTAAATTAATGATTTGGTAGTATTGTGATACATTGAATATAAATGATATTGTGAAGAAGTTTATTGTGTCACATTATGAATTTCAGGTGTTGGCACATGACCTTGATAGTGATGTAAATGGGAAAGTATCCTATTCCATTGCAAGAGGAGACAGACATAAACAGTTCTCTGTTGATGAGAAAACTGGCTATATTGCAGTTGCTGGAAATTTGGATCGGGAGATGGTATGTTATATTTCTTACTTTTCCAAGAAATAAATTGTATGTGATGATCATGTCGTGAAGTGAAAGGCTCACGAAAGATAAAAAAATTTGTTTGTTATTCTGCCATACAAGAGTTGAACTAAAACTGAGCTGAATCTGCAAATAATATACAGTAAACAGTTTAAACTCTTCTTATGTTCTGAATTATTAGTAATATATTTTATGAATTTATGCATGTATAATTATCCCAGGGATTCCAAAGAATATAATTCTCAAGTTCATAACTTGTGTAATATGTAATTTTAAGACCCATGGCAATTATGCAAAGAAGGACCAAAGTACAGCTGCAAATTATACACAGTTGAAGCTTTAAAATTAGAAACTGAATACTCTTGTGTTATGACCTTCTGAGTTGTGGTACCATAAAATCTGGTAGGTGTTTACCAACATTTCAGATGAACCTCATGTCTCTAGACATTTGTCCTGGAAATGGAGGGAGTATGTTTCTTTGAAATGTTGGTACACAGCAGACGCATGGTGTCAACCAAAAAGACCCAGTATTGAAAATTGAAAATCTGAAATTTTATATGTGAAGTTAATTTCTTCATGTTATTCTTTAACATTACTCTTTTTTCCAGAAATCTAACATGTATTATTCTGTGACAGGTGTCAAGCTATGTGTTAGAAGTTCATGCCCGTGATAGTGGTATTCCTGTTCTGTCCAGTTTTGTAATGGTCAATATTGAGATATCAGATGCCAATGATAATCCACCACTGTTCTCTCAGCCAAATTACACTGCCATTGTCCAGGTGGGTAACCATTGAACATATTCTGCATTAAAAAGTAGAACGAAAGTGAAATTTCAGTAACAACTCCCATAAACATACTAGAAATACAGTGGTTAACGTTTGTTCTCTCTCTCTCTCTTATTTTTATTTGTTAGTGACAGTGAAACCCTTATTTGGTATTCCCATATTTAGTGAACATATTTTCTGGTCCATAATGTGCGACGTTTAGTGAATTGATTTACAGTGTAATTTGCATTTTAGAAGAAAGTATTCTTCTAGAACTTATATCATGATTTAATGTGATTGTAGTCATGCCATATGATGACATATGGAAATTTACTGATGTTCTGGACAAATGTACTGCCTTGAAAACACCAGTAAACATCTACCAGACTACACAGCATCATGTCCCAGAGTACAATACTCTTTACAGTTACAGTTGTGGGAGCCTTGAATTTTGTATCAGTTTTGTTCTCTCTATGGACAGCCATAATTCTTTGTGACTGATGTCACATATTGAACATATATCAAAGTAATGCAGCTTGTGGCATCATAGTTGCATGGATTATTGACAGAGATTCTTTCAGAGTTTATTTCATATATATTTAATTTAGAAATTAGTATATTTTTGATTATATAATTGTATTTATTTGTGCAGAAGTTGTTTGTTTATATCAGACTTAATTCCATATGTTATTAACTGCTGTAGAAATTAATTTTATATTCTTGATTGTGAAATTATATTTGTTTGTGTAGTCATTTAACTGCTTAAGTAAAGAAATTATTTTATAATACTTATATACAACAAGTTTTGTAAGAAGATGGCAGCTTCTTGAGGTAATTTTGCACAACCCTCTTTGGTGAAAACTTTAATTTAGTGGAAGAAAATCTGTTCCCCACAAAGATTTATTATGTAAGGATTTCACTGTATTTTATATTAGTCTTTTGATTGATGGTGTCATTATGTTCATTTTACAGGAGGACAAACCTCTGGGCTACACTGTACTTAAGTTCTTAATAACAGATGCTGATACATCTCCAAATGCTGCCCCATATACTTTTGATATTCGTTCAGGCAATGAGGGTGGTGCCTTCCGGCTGGAACAGGATGGAATTTTGCGAACAGCAATGAGATTCAACCACAAGTTCAAAGAAAACTATTTGTTGCACATTCGGGTGTTTGACAATGGAACACCTCCTCTGTACTCTGATACATATGTTGTTGTCAAGGTAAGCACTACTGTAAGGTAGGTGTAACTGTTTAGGTCTGGTAAGCTGGGGTGAAGTGAAGTAAAATTCCATTATAATGTACCTCACCATACTGGGGATTCGGATATTCTGTAGGTCTAGTCATGTATCCCAAGATGATTCCATTTATTTTCTTTGTAAAGAACTTTGTTCAAAATTTTATTATGACATTTTTCTTCATAGACACTATCATTCAAATGACTGTACCAGTTGATCTTTCTGAATTGGTAATATTACCTTGCACGTGATCAGTGATTTGCTGAGGAGACAATGATGCTTCTCTACATGAGCTATGGTAAAGCCCCCTCTGCTGGAATCAGCTGTTGTGACAAAAGAAAATATCAAATTATTTTAAAAGCACCAGTTAAATAAGGCATGCGTGTAAATCTAAATACAGTAACATTTTTTTATCATAATTTGGTATTAAATTTGCTTTAAATATCCTGAAATACCACAGGTGGCCATTAACACAGGTCCTCATTCTGTCTTCTGGCTTCCATGTCATAATGAAGTTTTGCTGTAATTTCATTGCTTACTGTAGCATATCACCATAGAGGCCTGGGTCTGTTCCTAAGGTAGTTGGTGTGGAATTTGTGGTGGGTGAATTGGCACCAGAGGATGTATTTCTCCTATGAATTCAGTTTTTCTGTGCCAGTTGTCATCCCACCAGTGTCCCAGTGTTTGCTGGGCATCAGGGGCTGGTACAGTAAATCCCTTTTAGACAGCAGTGCCAAGGGACTCAGCCCCCTCATGCAACTAGCTATTGGAATCTGGCACTGAAATTGTTAAATAATATAGAAATGAATAATATGTGTATGAATGTATAAATGGTCTCTTATTTGTCCTGTATGTTTACAGGTAATTGAAGAATCACAGTATCCTCCGGTCATAACACCATTAGAAATATCAGTGAACTCCTACCTAGATGAATTTCCTGGGGGCATTATAGGGAAGATCCATGCTTCTGATCAGGACCAGTATGACACACTGACATTTGGGCTAGCTGACACAGCAACTGGAAGTGCTAGTACTGTAGTACTCAACCCAGCATCAGAACTATTTGAAATTGATCGGACTGATGGAACTCTTGTGGCCCTACCTCGATTGGATGTTGGTGAATATCGTGTCAATGTGACTGTCTCAGATGGCAAATTCACATCTCACAGTATCATTAAAGTCTCAGTGGAGTTAGTATCAGAAGAAATGCTACACCATGCAGTAATTGTACGTTTCAGGGATGTTAGTCCTTCAGAGTTTGTCCTCAGTCATCGTAAGGGTTTCGTTAGGGCAGTGAGGAATGCCTTAGGGGCACGTGTGAAAGACGTTGTCATTATCAGCGTCCAGCCAAGTGGACTTTCAGCACCACAGAAGGTTAGGTCCAAGCGACAAGCAGCTAGCCGTGATTTGGATGTTCTCTTCGCAGTGCGGAAACCTCAGCAGCCAATGGCACCAAGTTTAAGCTTTCATTCAGCTGATGCCATTCGTAAAGCTCTTACCCAACATCTGGAAGCTTTGGAGCAGTCGACTGGACTTATTGTTGAGGAGATAATTCGCGAGAAATGCACTACTAAATACTGTACATATGGTGAATGCAGGGACCGTATTGAACTTGACACCACAGTTGCTGCTACACCCATTGCTACGGATGTGACCAGTTTCGTGTCACCACGACATCAGCATCACGTTCTGTGTGACTGTAAGGAGGGATATGCAGGTAAGCTGCTGGTATTATATTTGTGATTTGATTGTTACAGTCACAAGGAAATAACATAATTGTAAGTAAAGGTGGAATTTTCCCTGTGCTTAATTAAGCTTCATGTTTTGAAAGTATATGGGGAAATTGAAATGTAGCTCCATGAATACCTCAGTGCTGGATGTAGGTCAGCTTCATGCCTGAGGGAAGAGCTTCTTGTACACATTTGATAGGAGGAAGTGGAACCCAGAGCCAGTGTGGATGCTGTAGGGGGGAGAAATATTTCTAATAACTGCCTGGAAGCCCACTCTTTTTCCTCACTCACCCAGTCCATAGCCGTCATTATTTTGATTTCTTACAGTGAGGTATCCTGCTTCTTACTTAAATGAGGAACAAATCTTTTTGACGGCCACTGATGTAACTGTGTTATCTCAGGATAGGATCACTACAATATTTTTGACACCTTTGGGTTGGATGGGTTATTTTATGTATGTAATATTATGGTCCGTGTTGATTACAGTGCAGCTGGTGTAATTTATGTATTCAGAGTATATGTATATAATTTATTGCCTCCATATGAGATCCATTTCTGAGTTAACTTTCTTGAATGTATCCATTTTTACATTTTTGCTATATGTCTGAAATTGTCTCTCTTGCATGCCATTTCTGACATGTTCTTTGCATTTAGTACATAGAATGAATGTTTACTGGGGAAATCATCTTTAGTTTGTCTGTTCATCTGCATGATTTATCTCCAGGACTTTTGCTTTATTTACTTATTTATTTGTAGTTTATATAATAATGCTATCAGTAACTCAGACTATACAGACTCAAATTATCTGATGGTGATGAGTAATGAACTGGAAAGGGTATGGGAGAAAGTGATGATAGCCTCATTTTAAATACTGTCCTTTCATTTGCATGGAGAAACTGAGGAATACCATGAAAAACCTGACTCAGGATAGTCAATGTTCTAACCAAGATTCGAACCAAGCAGCTCCTGAATACAAGTCAGAAGCATTACCACTGCAGCCAACTTGCTCAGTGGCAGTTACTGTGGTGATAATCTTATGTGATTGTGAGGTTATAGCATATTTAAGATATCACCACCTGGGTCAGTTCTTCATGGAACCAAGTGACTTTTATGACACCCCTGTAAACAAAGTCCTACATATCATTCAATGTGTAGGATTAATGAAGGGTTAATCCAAAGGGGAAGCACAATAGATCATTGAAGGTCGCAGTGTGAGGGCCAGTTTTATGACTCACCTCACATACTCATACTAATACTCATACTGCAGTGGAACCCCTATTTAATGTTCCTCAATTTAAAATTCTGCTTCTTTTAACATCCAGTTTCACTGCTCCTGAGTTAATAATAATGTTAAATTACCACATTTTTTAAGATTTTCCTGAGTTTAGTGTTCAAATCCAGTGGATCAAGAATGAACCTTAAGTGGGGTTTCACTGTGTTTTGAGGTAGTTGTGAAAAGATATAAATATTTATTTTTTGGCAGTAGCATAGTTGGTTGAGGTACTATGCTACAAGTCAGAAGGTTGCGGGTTCAATTCCCGATGAGGTCATTAGACTTTTCAGTTGCCTTAATCCTTGCAGTCGCACTGTGGCCATGGATTTGACTCAGGCTCTTACAGAAATGAATATCAGGAATCTTCTTGGGGGTAAGAGGTAGCTGGTGCATAAGTCTGACAACCTCACCACCACCTGTGAGCCAAATGTCTAGAAAATATGGGAGTCTCAGTGTCTCACAACCCTATGGCCCTTTAATGCCTGTTACAAGTATAGCTTTAGCTTTTATGTACAGAAAATTGAATTATGGACTTTGTGTGATAAGTTCTGATTTGGGGAAAAGTTTTGAATTTCAGTTTAGAGTTGATGTCCTGATCTTTATATTGCAGGAGAACAGTGTGAAATCATTGTAAATGAGTGCGCCCGTCAACCATGCCCAGCATTCAAAGTCTGCATACCTGATGCTTCAGTCCAGGGCTACTCGTGTCAGTGTCCTGAGGGATTTGCAGGGACTACTTGCAGCATTGATATTTCTAAGTGCCATGATGAGTCGTGCTACATACCTCGTAACCCAGTTTCCTTTACTGGAAAGAGTTATGCTCAATACCGGGTTGACAAGTCTCTTGTGAAGAAGACTCTTGAGGATCAGCTGAGTCTATCACTCCGGATCCGTACCATGCAACCCACAGGAAATCTCATGTATGCAGCAGGAAAAGTTGACTATAATGTCCTAGAGGTAATAATATAAGTCTGTTTTCTTTATTTTGAAGAAGTAAAAGTAGGCTTATGCAATCACCATGCTGTCTGTGTATCCCACCTTTCAACTTTTGAATGTCTGAACCAGTCTTTATGAAACTGAGTATATCATCATGGTACTTCAGCCAATCTCAAAGACATGTTTCATAAATCCCTCCCTTAAGTCTCTGTGTTTATATGTGTATCCCCCTATCTTTGCTAGGCAGTGGCTTGGCAAATGTGTTACCATGGTAAAAAATACACACACACACCAATAGAAGAATGGTTGAATGTGTTGTTTTTTTATGTGGTCTGTGTCATATCAAAGTAGAGTAGGTGATTAGTTCTTTCTGGAACTACAGTCTTTGAAATTCACTTCTATTTGTGGAATTTACGTGGTGCAATCCAAAAGTTCCCGAAATATATTAATAAAAACTATTACATCTTACCTAGATCTTATTCTGCACCATCACCTTCAAAGTAGTCCCCTTGGGAGTGCATACACCGATCCCAGCGTTTCTGCCACTTTTCAAATGCATCCTGAAGGTTTTCTTTGTTAGGGTGTTTAGTACCGTCTGCGTTTCTGCTTGAATTTCCTCAACT